TTTAAACTTTTACGGGAACAAAAATTGCTTTTAATATCTACTTTGTGTGTTTAAAGATAAACAATTTTAATTCATTATTTTTAATGTTGCTAATTGTGGATCTTCTAACATTATATTCTTTTGCTAAATTAGAAGTACTTTCATCTTTTTTTAAACGTTCAAGAGTGTTCAACTTATGTATCTTCTAATTTCAGCACTATTCTTTTTTTTTACATTCATTGTATGAATAAAATCTACACATATGAACGTACTAAATTCAGACAAGATACTAAACTTGGACATTTAAAGCAGGTAGGATATGTGTCCCAAAGCATAAACAATGTGAAATGCGTAGTTTAAATACGTAAATATATAACTCATTCTTTATTCGGATTATTCAAATTCAAATAATCAACGTTTCGGATAATCGACGCGGTAATTATTGAGTATGGAGGAGTAAAGTCCGATGAGACCTTGACATGTTGTAAAGAGCACTCCCATGAGTAGTCTCCAAGAGGTTTTAGGCGTCGCTTATTGTTTCATTAAAAAGTTATTCATAAAAAATATATTCACAAAAATGACCGTTGAAAACTATCAAGAGTTGCAATTTTGTTCGTGTGTAAGCGTGTAGGCAGGGAGGAACTCCGCTTCCCGCAAGGAGAGTAACCTAACCTAACTTTGTTCTTCCCCTGCACCTCCTCACCGAAAAAACTACGTACACACTTTTGACATAAAGCGACATTTAATCGAAAGTCGTTCTTTATTTTTTCTTATTGTAAATGTTTAGAAAAATGGACTCAGTCCCGATAACTTTGACTTTAACATATATGTTGTCAAGGACATATCTCTGAGTAACAATCAAAAAGTTTTAGTTGCTTATTGTTTATTAAAAAGTTATAAACAAATCAAATTTCTGAATTGAACTTTCGTTTTTCACCATGTACATGTGAGAAGTAAATATTTCGTTTGTATCACACACTATCGTACACAGGGGGAGGGCTTCGCTTCTCCTTCTCGCCTTTCTTTCTCGAAAAAACCTCACTCATTCTTAATGATACTATAGTAACACAGGTTGGGGTAGGTTAGGTTAGGTTAAGTTTTTCGGAAGGACAATGCAGGAGGCAAAGCCCCCCTGCCTACACGCTTACAACTCATAGTACGTGAATGTTTCTTCTTTTTTTGAAATAATAAGCAGATTATATCCAATAAATAATTAAAGGTACTTGTAATATTTTCTTTGTGAATGTATAAAAACATACATATTTAAGTGTATATAGACAATATATGTAGACAGTATACATAATCTCAATACAAATTTTAGGATCATAACTTTTTTATGAAAAGCGAGCGACGGCTAAAACCTTTCGATTGTTACTCAGGAATATATCCTTGACAACATATGTCAAAGTCATCGGGGCTATGTCCGTTTTTCTAAATATTTATCCTTGTTAACTCAGCAGTAGTCACCCGGGGTGTGTTTTACACCCCAGCGTCGGAAAAATGAAGCTCACGTCACAGCAGTTCTTTTTACAGATCGGGAATCCACACTTACCTTTCAATCAAACCTTTCGAAACATAATCTGCACAATAGAAAGTGTTCATGTCATATGGTAGTACAAAGCTATTGAAACTTGCTAGGATGTAGAAAACACACCAGCTGACTGCTTGTGTAACTATACAAGTTCGAATTTGGTAGAGTATAAAGTATAAATTTGAAATAATAATGAGTTGAAAATAACATAAAATGACGTTATGAATACTTATATTAGAATAAATAAATAAATAATAATATATAGGTATAACAATTAATATAAAATACAATAAGAAAACTAACTATTAGAAAATAACAAATAATAAATTGTTAAAAAAAACTTTGTAGTTTGTATAAGATTTAAATTTTTATACAAGCCATAAACTTTGGAGGATGAATTCATTACTACTGTGTAAGAAATATATAGAAAATATTTGTTCAACCTGTATAGAAAAGGATTCTTTTAGCGAATAAATTATTCACTAAAATCTAGTAGAAGCTAATACCTACAGCTGTCTATAAATTAAAAAATATTTTCAAACTTTAAAAATTATTTTTGTTTTGTTACTTTTTAATGTATAAATTTTATATAAAATTTATTTTATATAAAATTTTATTTTCTTCTAATATTTATATAAAGATTACTATATATTGATTTTTTATTTAAAACTACTTTATTTTAATATAACAAGGTAAGTTATTTTTATGTAACATAATAAGCAAATATATAATAATACTTAACCACTATTATTACTATTATAAATATAAAAATAAACTACTTTTATAATACTTTTAGAACAGCAAACATAAAATACATAAATTTATATGATAGCGATTTAGCCTTATTTTAAGTTGCTCCAAAATGAATATTATATAATATTTTTGATTTTTCTTTTTAATAGCTATTTTTTACAAACTTTTAAATACAATTTTATAGAAAAATCCGCAACATAAAAACATTTTATTAACTAATATTTTTATATTAAAAAAAACTGTCATAATAAGCTGCTTAATATCCTTTTTTCGTATGTTTTTTATTTTCTTGATTTCTTTTTATTTTTTTTAGAAAATATTAAGTAAATATATATCTTTAATGTCCTTAGTTCTTAATAAATTATAGAACAATCAATAATTTACAATCTGTGATGAATACAAATAATTTTTAACTGGGGTGAAAAAAACACCCCAGGTGACCGCGTACGCCAAAAAAAATGGCGCGACTACTCTCGGATTAAGAAACTTTAAATTGCCATCTCTCTTTGCTCGGAATGATATAAATAAGCTACTTCACCCTCCAAAACATCAACTGAGTAATCAAGAAGCACGGTAGTACGTCTTATACGCGAAACTCAGGCATTTTAGGAGTGGAAAGATTTTCAATAGCAATATCTTAATAATGAGTAAACCGATCGGCTTTATTTTACTCTCAATCGATTCAGGTAAAAAAGCAGAAAAAAAGTATTATTGTGTTTTTCTCGTTCGAGTCTAGTGTTTGAAGATGTTTACAGAAAGAGTTTTGACCTGTTATTTTTCACCTTATTTCATTTCGTCGTTTGGCTAGACCATATACAGTAAAGAGCATAACTGAACCAATAGCCACAAGTTTTGTATAAATCATTATTTAGTGTTAAGAACACTAACGAATATAAAAAAATAAACATTACATATATTTTTGTCACAGTTAGAAATAACATAAGAAGTTGTTTTAACAATTACTGTCTTTTTATTTATTATTGTTTTTTTATTAATAGCAACAATAATAGATTGATGTTTTTGCATTATTATCATGTTCGAACTATGACGAAAACTAGAAGATTTTAGAAACGGAGGTGATAGTTACACAGAATCATTTCACAAATTAAAATTACATCTTGTAGAAGCATTACAATGAAAAAATAGAAGAATTGCAAAAAGCGTTTAAAACTGCAAAACAGTTGATTAAGGAATATTTAGACAACGAATTAAGAAAACTGAATATTTCGCAAGATGATTCAGAAAATCCAATAGGTATTCAAAATATAGAAGCTGATAAAGAAATGCAAGATTTTAAAGATCTCATTGAAAAAACAAATATAGATGTCGATGTATGTGATATGATAGCAAAATTAAATATAGATCAAAAACGTGTATTTGATAAAGTTGTTAATACTGTAAAAACAGATAAATCACCATTACGATTATACGTTAGTGGAGAACGTGGTAAAGGAAAAAGTTCCTTAATTAAAACTGTTAAATGTTGGATAAAACAATATCTCAACAAAAATACTGCTATAACAGCTCCTACTGGTATTGCAGCGTTTAACGTTGACGGCTTGACAGTTCATAGACTATTCCAATTACCTGTTGAACATGCTTTTATTTCTAAATATAAACAATTATCTGATCACGTATTAAAAGTTTTACGAGCAGATTTGAAAGATGTTATTCTTATTGTAATTGATGAAGTGTCAATGATATCTAATTTGACTTTAATGTATGTACATATATCTTTGATTAGCTTAAGTATTCGACACTATTGATACTGATGACGGTTGGTTCGGTGGAAAACACATTCTTCTATTTGGNGATTTGCTTCAATTATCACCTGTACACGATGATCCTGCTTTTGTACGTTTATCAAAAGAAAAGGTTGATAAGTATCTCGGTTTGATGAAAGTCATTAACTTGTGGACTACATTGTTTGATTACAATGAATTAACAATCAATATGCGATAGAAAGGAGATGAATCTTATTGCGAGGTACTATCGAGAATTTGTATTGAATTAGTGACTAAGTCTGATTGTAAAATCTTTCAAACTAGAATACTATCGTTTAAAGGTGTATCTATGGAATCTAGATTGAACGAATTATGTAATTTTATTAATGAGTTGCCGTCGGATACCGTATGTTTATTGCCTACTTGTCATATGTGTAATGTTCTTAATGCAGCAATGCTAAATTAAATTAATGCGAAAGAAATAGTATTAATTGCAGAAGATAGATTGCATCCGTTTTGTATGAAAAAAAGTTTCAAAACTATTGTCAAATCATGAAGATTATACTTCAAGAACAGCCGGATTTGTGAAGAGAATTGCTATTAAAATTGGAGCAAAAGTTATGATAAGACGTACTATTGATGTTAGCAAAGGTCGTGTAAATGGTACAATAGCTAAAGTAATTTCTGTTGTTAAGGATATATCAAGTAAAGATGTAGAAATATTAAATTTTCTTTTGCCGTCAAGTTTCAATTGAGAGAGTAAGTGTCAAATTTTATGTAATGGAAACAGCGTATGTTATAAGAAAACAATTTCCATTATCCTTGAATTATGAAATTACTATTCATAAGAGCTAAGGATTGAGTTTGAAGAACACTATAATAGACGCTATAATGTATGGTTCTTATTTTGTATCATAAAACAACGCTGTAGAATATAAACATAATGATGCATAATGTGTGTGTGATGTCTATTTGATGTCGCAATATAATTTCGCGTGCAGATTGTGATTATTTTATGTGTTATGTTCAATTGGGAGTGGACACACGCAATTGACGGCTCGTTTGAATTCTCCAGAGGCAGTCTTGATTGTGACCGTTCGCACGATTCCATCTTCGCCTGGATGCACCTTTACTATTCTTCCTAAAGCCCATTGCATGCACGGTGTGTTTTTGTCCTTGAGGAGGACGATCATTCCAGTATTGACATTTTCTCCGTCCGTCTTCCATTTGTGACGAACTTGGAGTTCGTTGAGATATTCTAGCTTCCACCGTGCCCAGAAGTCCTGTCGCACCTTCGTTATATGTTGCCAGGTGGATAGGCGGTTGGCTGGGACAGAGGAAACATTGTTCTCCGGTAGACTGATTAATGGTTGGCCGATCAAATAGTGTGCGGGTGTTAATACCAAAGGATCATTAGGATCAGATGAGAGACAGGTTATAGGTCTAGAATTCAATATTCCTTCGATTTCGACTACGAAAGTACATAGTTCTTCAAATGTAAACAAAAGTTCTCCGACTACGCGTTTGAAATGATGCTTAAATAATTTAACTGTGGACTCCCATAAACCGCCGAAATGTGGTGCTAAGGGAGGAATGAAATGCCACGTTATGCGACGTTCGATCGAGAATTGATTTATTTGGCGTTGGTGTTCGTCTGAATTTAAAAGGACATATAATTCCTTTAATTTATTGTTGGCTCCTATAAAATTAGTTCCGTTATCTGAATAAATATGTGCTGGCATCCCTCGCCTAGAAATGAAACGTCGCAAAGCAGCGAGAAAACCGTCCGTCGATAGATCGCTTACAACCTCGAAGTGAACCGCCTTAATCGCCATGCACACAAATACGCACACATATACTTTAATTCGCGTTCGATTTCGATATTTCCGTTCCTTGATGTAAAACGGACCGCAAAAATCGATACCAGTGTTAGAGAAAGGGAATGCGTTATTTAATCGTGCTTGAGGTAAGTTGCCCATTTTGTATTTTATTGTATCGGCATTGAATCGGAAGCATCGCACACATGCGCGCACGACCTTGCGCACTTGATTGCGACCATCGAGGATCCAAAACTTACGTCGAAGAATATATAGTGTCGTTTGAATGCCTGTATGATGATGTTTTTCGTGTGTCTCCTTTATGATATTGTCGGTCAAAAAATGACGATTTGGGAGTAAAATCGGGTGTTTTTGAGAGAAGGTTAATTTCGACATTTTGAGCCGTCCGCCAACGCGAATCAAGCCGTTTTCGTCAATGAATGGGTTTAGTGCTGCGATTTTACATTTATTTATTGAATTTTTATTTTTGAGATCCTTGAACTCGTGCGGAAAACAACATGCTTGAACGATCTTTATTATTCTAGTTTCTGCTTCGATTATCTCTTGCACGCATAATTGTCCGCGATATTTGTTTTGTAATCGCATACGAAGACAATATGCCACGATTTTTAATAATTTTGAATAAGACGAATATTTTTCGATGATGCTGAGATCGACCTTCACTACTAGACATACATTTTTCTTTACCTCCGGAGTTTCATTCAAGTTTATGATTTCGTTCGGCCATTCGCCTTGATCCTTTAACAACCACGGAGGCCCCGATAACCAAATTTGATTATTCAGAAAAACATTAGGTAGTTGGCCTCTCGAAAGTGCATCCGCGGGGTTATCTCTTGATTTAACGTGTCGCCACAGTTTTACTTCGGTAATTTCCTGTATTTGTGCAACGCGATGAGAAACATAATTTTTCAGAATATGTGGTGAAGTTTTTAACCAATGTAAAACAATTGTTGAATCACTCCACAATACTGTTGCGCTAGGCGTGAATCTAATGGTTCGAATTACTTCGCGATAAAGTTTGGCTAACAATAATGCGCCGCACAATTCTAGACGGGGAATTGTTATAGTTTTTAACGGGGCTACTCGCGATTTAGCGCACAGTATACGACACGTTACGTAATTATGATTGTCATGTGAACGTACATACAAACATGCTCCATAACCGATGGTGCTTGCATCGCAAAATCCGTGGATTTGAATGTCGTGAGGGTCGGTTACTACCACTGGACGATCGATAGATAATTCATTGAGCGAATGTAATCGAGTTGCAAAATCTGACCAAGTGTCGTGAATGTTAGAGGGGACGGCATCATTTCAATTTATGCGACATTGCCACAGGTTTTGCATTATTTTTTTTGCGTATAGTACAACGGGACCTAGGATGCCCAGGGGGTCGAATATTTTTGCAATTTCAGAGAAAATGGTACGTTTCGTGATTTTCTTTGTACAGTCAATTGGTCGCACTGAATAGAAAAGCATGTCACTGCGTGCGTTCCATGAAACGCCTAAAGTTTTTAAAAAACATTCCTTGTTGAGTACGAGATCGGGTTTTAGTGCGTTGTTGTTCAAATCATTGATGATGCGTTCGTCGTTAGACGCCCACTGTCGAATGTTAAATCCGCCTCGAGCTAATAAAGCAATTATTTCGTTTCGCAATGTGCGAGCCTCTTTGATCGTATTTGCTCCGGTGAGTAAATCGTCCACGTATAAGTCAGTTTTAAGAGTCTTAGAAGCGATAGGGTATCTGTCGCGTTCGTCGTCGGCGAGTTTTTGAATAGTTCGAATGGCAAGAAATGGTGATGATGATACACCAAATGTGAGAGTGTTGAGTTGCAGTGTCTGTATTTGATTATCATTGCGCCAAAGTATACGTTGATATTTTCGATCTTCTTCGTGGACTAACACCTGACGATACATTTTTTCTATATCGGCTATCATGACGTATCTGTACGAACGAAATCGAATTAAGTGCGCGAATAATGTGTCCTGAATAATCGGACCCACCATTAATACGTCATTTAAAGATACTCCGGTATTTGTTTTCGCGGACGCGTCAAACACGACGCGAACCTTGGTCGTACTGCTTGAAGCCTTGATCACTGAATGATGAGGCATATAATATCCATTGTCAAGTGGATCATCTATCACTAAAGACATATGATTTAAATCCAAGTATTCTTGAATTATCCGCGTGTATTCGGTTTTTAACTTTGAGTCTGCGTCGAGCCTACGTTCGAGTGACTATAGACGTTTGAGAGCGATATTTCGCGATTCTCCGATACGTTTGTTGTCATTGCGAAATGGTAACCGCACTGTGTAACGGCCAGTTTTATCGCGAGTGACGTGTTTGATAAAATGTTCCTCGCATTTGTGTTCCTCGGAAGATCTTGTCGCGTAGATGGCTGTTTCTTCGATCGTCCAAAATCTGGCGATCTGACGTTCTAGACTCGTCAACTGGCAAACAAATGTTTTTGNGTATCCTTGCGATGTGCCGCCCGCAATGACCCAACCGAGCCGCGTGTTTTGAAGATATAGATCGCGATAGTCATTGGATAAATGAATTCGACCGTCGGTAAATAACGACAACGTTGCTCCTGATCCGATTAACAGATCAACAGGACGCGGTAGGTGGAACTCCGGATCTGCTAGTTTGATGTTAGTCGGTATTTTAATTGAATCTCGCGCGAAAACTTCAGAAGGAATTAGATTTGATATCGTCGGGATACATAAACACGTTATACCTTTGCGGAATTCGTTATACATCGATTGAATAATAATCTGAACGACACCTTTGGAAAGAGTATTCATTGAGTTGATAGCTCCGATTGATAAGGAGTGCGTCGTCATCGGAAGATTTAGTCGTTTCGCGAATCCTTCGGATATGAAATTAGCGGTAGCACATGTATCTAACAACACACGACATTTAATTGATTGGAGATCGCGATTTCGTACATATACTACTGCGCTTGTCATCAATTGTGGTGTAAACATGTACGAAGCAGTCGTCGAATGTGTCCCCTTGTTTTCCTTCGCGTTTACTAGTCATTCAATTTTCGCTGGTTTCTCGGATTGATTTACAGTTGATGTGGTGGACGCGGCTGTGAATTTGTCTAAATGTAACAGCGTATTGTGACGTTTTTGACAAAGTTTGCAATTTGAATAGCTGCATGTGCTTCCTCGATGAGAACGGAGACAGTTATAGCATAATTTTGCGTTTTTTACGATTTCAATTCGTTTGGGTGTATTTAATCGTAAAAACTTGTCACATTTGAATAATGGATGCTGTCTGTTTTTACACATCACACAATTATTTGAGACGTGAATTACAAAGGCTTGATTGGAATGATCAATTCGTCTTTTTTTAACGGGTGGCGGATTTTTATGAATTTCTGTCTTGTCGTTAATCGCTTCCCTACGAACACGTTTTGACACACGCACCGCGACCTTGTATAAAAATTCGTACATGTCGTCGATTTTCGGAAACTCGTCTCGCTCGAGAGACTCTTCCCACTTTTCAGCTGTGACCCTTGGCAATTTGGTTTCTAACAAATGCACAAGCATTTCGGACCCTATATGAACTCCAAGCGAAGCTAAGGATGCTACATGTTGTTGTGCGTCGTCGGCTAATCTAGTTAAACCGTCTGTAGTCTCCTTGTCTAATGCAGGCAAATTTAAAAGGAGTGAGAGATGTCGTGAGATTAAAATGCGTTTCACTTCGTACGCGCGTTCCAATAATTCCCACGCCTTACGGTAATTAGCGCCATCGATTGGAAAAATCTTTATCTTGTTAGCTGCTTCCCCCTTCAATGCCGATTTTAAGTAATGAAATTTGTCTACATCGGTTAAATCTTGTTGTGCGTTTATCATGGTGAGAAAGGCGTTTTTGAATGACAGCCAGTTTTCATATTGACCGTCGAAGATTGGTAGAGATGCTTCGGGTAACTTTAATCGCCGCTTTGCCGACACCGTAGGCGCGTTGTCATAGCGCGTCGCGTCGTTAGAGCCACTCGCGTGCGCATTTATATTGACAGGATTCAGTATGCCTTCTATTTTTCCCGCAAGCGAGTAAAATCTTTCTTGTACAATTGTAAATTCGTTTTTATGCGTGTCGTCTGAATCTAATAATACGAGCTCGTCGTTATAATCTTCATAAGCGTGATAAATTTCTGTTAAGCGAGAGATGCGTAATTTCAACGTGGCATTATCAAAACGACCTTTATCGACTAAGTTCGCTAAACCGGTGATTTGAGATTTTAGAGAGGTTCGTTTCTGAACGAGAAATTTGATCCTGTCACTCATCGTGTATTATGTGTGTTGTGTGTTTTCACAGGTGAATATGATCGGCGAAATATTTGTACTTGCCGGCAGTGTGAAGAATCTTGTGGTCGTGGTTCCTGCTAACGGCGTGTTCGGGAGGAAGATCGGGAAAAGTTGACAGGCGTGGAGGATCTGCTTGGATCGTTGCTATGGAATTGTTCCTTTCTCTCGATGCTTGATAAGTCTTCTACTCGCGTATGACGCGAGCACCTCACAGGAGGCACCAAAATTTAATGTTCCGTGATTACTGGGGATTTTTTGAGTCACAATGGTTTACTGAAGAATCTTATTGTATCGTTTATTGCACTACAATTAAATTGAATCACAATAAAGAGAGTAGAGTTCCGTTGACAGGATTATTGTTACATTAGTTGTTGTATTGATTACGGCGATAATATAGAACTCGGTCTGTTTGACGAGAAGACTCGGCTTCTAGATAATAATATTTAAGATAACTCGGTCTCGTTTGAAGACTCGGCTTCTAAAAAACGTTAACGCACTCCCGAAGACTCGGCCTCGAGAACGTGATCACGTTTATTGAAGGTTTCACTAATGATACGTTAACGTTTGTGGAAAATTCGATTTTTAAGACTCGGTCTTTTACGTGTTATTGCTGCAGCGGACGGAGAAGATCTGTCTATCATCGTGACGACCTCCTTTTTTGATCGCGTCGAACAGTATAGCATCGCCACGTTCTTGCGTGTTTTGTTAACGTGTGATATATCGCATGTGGTCGTGTATACAACGGCATCTCGATCTCATCGATATATCGATCGAAATGTGTTCATACAGAACAATGTAGGCAATTCTATTTTCAATCTTGGTCAAATTTATATGTTGCATTGCCTCGAGTAACATCTCTAGAAGGATTGTATTTAATTAATTATGATCCTTCATTTGTAAAAGCTAGTNAAGAAGCTATTATTGAATACAATAGGTTAAAACAAATGCATAAACCTGAAACAAAGATGATTCTTGTTTCAAAACAAAAGATTCCTAAAGTAAAAGATAATCCATGGACGTCATCAAAAGTAATTGCTTCTGTACAAGAATCACATCACATTGTTCAGAAAAGTACTAGTTGGATTATTCGTGGTTTCCAAAATACAGATACAGTTTCATCTTACGCAAATGAAGTATTACAATTTTTTTTGCATTTAAGTATCATTAGAAAACAAATATTTAATTATGATAAAGAAAAAGTTTTATTTGTATTAATGCATCAATATGAAAATGGCATGCCTAACTTAAATACATATAAAATACGACAATATGTAGGAAATGTCTTTTTTAATAATATAAAACGTGATGCATTGGAATTTCTTTTGGCTCTTTGCGCAAAATTTGATTTTATAAAAAATGTAGTCGAGCATCAAGTAACTTTCACTACACGATGCAGAACTTGTGAATATACAAATATAGTTATCTCAAATAATATTTTGATATCAATTCCTGTTATTAATTTAGAGAAAAAGAGTTATGCTCTTAACGATTTATTAGATGTTATTTTTCCTCATTGGTGCGAATTATATAACGATTTATGTAAAGCTTGTAAAGGGAATATGCTATTTAAAAAAGAATTATCTTTAACAAAAGAAATACTTATCATTCATTTTCTATTTTTATCGCCAGAAAAAGATAAAGTAATACAACCAAACAAATTTAATTTACGTGCTGTACCAACAACTAAAGTGTCAGTAGATGGACAGGTATATAAAGTAATGAATGCTATATTTAATAATAGACTGTGTATTGAAAACAGTCATTATACATGTATGTGTAGAGAAGGAAAATCTAGTTGGTATAAAATTGATGATATGCAAATTAAAAAATATCACTGACCTAGAGGTACTACAAATGTTTGTATTCTTTTCTTAACAAAAAGTAATTAAGGTTTGTTGTTAGAGAAAAGACATAGACCAGAAAAACTGTAAAGTTGCACATTTTATTTACAAAATGTATTTTACTTTTATTAATATATTATTTATATCATTAATATATATGTAGAATATTATTATTTTAAGACATACAAGGAATATATGCTACAAAAAAGGAGTGATATCTAAAAAAAACTTACCTTTTTAAAAAAAGATAAAAAAGTGCGCCAAGTACACGCATGTATTACTTTAAAATTAAAATTCTAAACTTAAACTAGTATTTATAAAAAAATGTATTTTATTTTTACTATAAAACATCTTTTTTCTACAAAACCTACGTTACAAAAGAAGTGATATGAAAAAGTAGCACCAAGTGCACTTGTGTACATTTAAAAAAATTATTAAAAACATTATAAAATAATAAAAAGTATAAAAGTATTATTCTTCTGTATTCTTCCTCGTGAAAACTTATAGTAGGGAAGTGGCCAATTCGAGGCAATAACCAGATCTTTGTGTCAATAAACTTCTTTATTTTAAAAAACTTGACAGACTTTTCGACCCTAATTTGAGTCTTCTTCAGTGTACTACATATAATAATTACACATATAATAATTATAGATTATATTAAACAATCTAACGCAAGGAGTTGATAACGCGTACCCCAAATTACAAGATTTGACACAGGAAGGCTCGTAGGTATAGGAAGAACTCAGTCTATCAGGCGCGCAACGTCGCCAACAACACGCGATACGAAAGTCTCGGTGCTAACGAGACACGAACAAACAACTAGCGCGACGGCCGCTGACTGAGCTACATCCTTAACAACGCTACTATTCCGAATAACATTTTCCCCCCCCCCTCCCCCCTTACTTTTCGCATATCATACGCAAACATCGCAGGAATGCCTATGTCGCTTTATACAGCTCCAAAAAGAGAAATAAGGCTTTAGTTTATCATACATAACGTTAATTCAATGATCCCGTAGTTCAATATGGATCATTTCGGACACGAACCTTTTATAAAATGATTTTTCTGAGTCTAAAATTTTGGTATTTTGCCAATTAAAATTATGATCCGTATTGATTCGATGTTGTGTGACGACAGAAGCACTCTCAGTACGATGGTTAATTTGATTTTTATGTTCCGCAACTCTCGTTTTGAGCTTCCTCCTGGTCTGACCCACATAAGAAGCATCACAATTATTACATTGCAAATGGTATACTACATTTTTCTTTTGTTTATATTCAATGGAATCTTTAACAGTTTTGATAAATCTATTCAATTTGTTCAGACTCTTGTACGCTAACAAAGTTTTGTCTCCTCTCTTCAAAAACTTGGAAATTCCTTGTGACAAGCCATTTATGTAATCACAAATAAGTTTTTCTTTCCGTTACCCGAAATTTGTTGGGAATTCAAATTTTTTAAATAAAATTATTGTATCAATAGGTAGACTTTGCCTTTGCCTTTGTCAATAGATAGACTTTGCTTCCTGCTTTTGCCTTTTGTAAAAAGTCAAAATATAAAAAATAATTAAGGCAAACAAACTTTGCGTGACTGCACCAAAACTACAGCAGACATGTTTTATCTGCGCGCGTGCAAGCTATTTACAATTTA